TTGTTGGGTGTGGCAAATAAGTTGAAAAATAAATAAAGAACTAAGTTGCAGCCATTGACTATTTTTATTACCCAAAATTGTTCACAGGGCACTGAATCATTCTACTGATACAAATGCTCTATGTTAATTAATTTTTAAGTAAAAGAACTATAATCAGGAATTTATCTGAAGAGAATGGCTGATCTTAAACATAGTAGCATAGATCTGAAGATTTCTACAACACTCTTGATATTGATATTTAAGTCTGTTTGTAAACTGAGCAATTTTAATTGGAATGCATTTGTTTATTAGTTCAGTTTACAAGGGACCCATTACCCAATGACTTTTTTTTATTTTACCTCTTATTTAATTCAGGGTACAAAGGTTAATAAATCTTAGGTTTTAATATCTAAGGTAAAAGCAGTGATTTTCTTTCATATTATTTATATACCACTGAAAGTGTTTGCTTCATAGTTAAAACATGTGATTTGCTTGTGTGGTTAGCATGTTGTATGAACTCAGAGAAATATAATTCAGTATTTGAAATGTATTTGAATATACACTGCTCAAAAAAATAAAGGGAACACTTAAACAACACAATGTAACTCCAAGTCAATCACACTTCTGTGAAATCAAACTGTCCGCTTAGGTAGCAACACTGATTGACAATCAATTTCACATGCTGTTGTGCAAATGGAATAGACAACAGGTGGAAAGCATAGATATTGTAATGACAAGGCAGTCGAGTTGTTTGATCATGATCAACTGAATCATGATGATCTTTATTAGAGTCTAGTCTTGCATTTATACACATTTTTAATTATCCTCCAACATTGGTTAACTTTGGTTACTGCTTAACTTTCGTTACTGTTTAGCATAATAGTAATTAACACAATTAATTATCTCTAGTTAAAGTCTAACATATGTTTACTTCCTCTCTCTAATCCTCCTTTAGATTAGTGACTTTTTGCCTGAGTTGTATTTGCTTGGAAACATTCTTTATCTGAGGTTTGCCATCCGAGATAGGAATATTCCTGGAATTACAACTCTACACATAGACAATTAGCAAGACATCCTCAATAAAGGAGTGGTTCTGCAGGTGGTGACCACAGACCACTTCTCAATTCCTATGCTTTCTGGCTGATGGTTTGGTCACTTTTGAATGCTGGCGGTGCTTTCACTCTAGTGGTCGCATGAGACGGAGTCTACAACCCACAAAAATGGCTCAGGTAGCGCAACTCATCCAGGATGGGACATCAATGTGAGCTGTGGCAAGAAGGATTTCTGTGTCTGTCAGCGTAGTGTCCAGAGCATGGAGGCGCTACCAGGAGACAGGACAGTACATCAGGAGACGTGGAGGAGGCCGTAGGAGGGCAACAAGGACCACTACCTCCGCCTTTGTGCAAGGAGGGACAGGAGGAACACTGCCAGAGCCCTGCAAAATGACCTCCAGTGGGTCACAAATGTGCATGCGACTGCTCAAATGGTCAGAAACAGACTCCATGAGGGTAGTATGAGGGCCCGACATCCACAGGTGGGGGTTGTGCTTACAGCCTAATACTGTGCAGGATGTTTGGCATTTGCCAGAGAACACCAAGATTGGCAAATTCGCCACTGGCACCCTGTGCTCTTCACAGATGAAAGCAGGTTCACACTGAGCACATGTGACAGATGTGACAGGGTCACATTTTGCTGCCTGAAACATCCTCCAGCACGACCGGTTTGGCAGTGGGTCAGTAATGATGTGGGGTGGCATTTCTTTAGGGGGCCGCACAGCTCTCCATGTGCTCACCAGAGGTAGCCTGACTGCTATTAGGTACCGAGATGACATCCTCAGACCTCTTATGAGACCATATGCTGGTGCGGTTGGCCCTGGGTTCCTCCTAATGCAAGACAATGCTAGACCTCATGTGCTGGAGTGTGTCAGCAGTTCCTGCAAGACGAAGGCATTGATGCTATGGACTGGCCCGCCCGTTCCCCCCCAGACCTGAATCCAATTGAGCACATCTGGGACATCATGTCTCGCTCCATCCACCAATACCACGCTGCACCACAGACTGTCCAGTTGTTGGGGGATGCTTTAGTCCAGGTGTGGGAGGAGATCCCTCAGGAGACCATCCACCACATCAGGAGCATGCCCAGGTGTTGTAGGGAGGTCATACAGGCATGTGGAAGCCACACACACTACTGAGTCATTTTGACTTGTTTTAAGGACATTACATCAAAGTTGGATCAGCCTGTAGTGTTTGTTTCCACTTTAATTTTGAGTGTAACTCCAAATCCAGACCTCCATGGATTGCTAAATTTGATTTCCATTGATAATTTTTGTGTGATTTTGTTGTCAGCACATTCAACTATGTAATGAACAAAGTATTTAATGAGAATATTTCATTCATTCAGATCTAGGATGTCTTATATTTGTGTCCCTTTATTTTTTTTGAGCAGTGTATGTAGCTCGGATTGGTATAGTTGGGCTGTGGGGCTGAGCTTCAAGCTTGGCAATTTGGTTGTAAATGTTTCATTACCATTCAAGGACCCATAGTCAATGCACTTGACGAGCACATTTCAAAGCACATTGATGATGTCTCTTCAGCCCAAATAATTCAAATATGGACAAAAATCAATACTGGACATACTTTATGCCTAGTATAATGTTTAGATGCTCTCTCTATTCAATGTTCTTTTGCTCCAAAATTTATTGCTGAGAATTAGGAAGATCTATGTGACATATATGTTCTCCACCTAACATCAGCCAGAAGTCAACATGTTGATCCCAATATTTCAACCCATTATCTCTTTCTCCTGCCTTCCAGAATCAACAGCTATATGGATACTCATTTCCTGCCCTTAAAAGTTTCTGCCACCTGTTCTTTGTTTATAAAAGAACTTTCTCTGCCATAAAAATTGGAGATTTCAGCCTCACCAGCTTCAATTTTTAGAATAGTTTAGCATAATGAATAAGATCAGACTTGTGTTAACTCTGATATAGTAAGGCATGCATTTGAGAATTTACCCATGCTATCTAGCTATTTTATGCGTCTGATGGTTTAATTGCAGCTGATGAGCATCCTGGAGGAGCAGATTACCTAGACCTGTTTCCATTAGGTTTCAGGGTAGAGTTTAATATTGCAACAGCTTTGATCATGTTTGTTGATCACCTCCAGAGTTGAGATGGCGGTCTTTGTTCTCTTTATTGGCTTTAGATATCATTGACCAAAATATCCTTTTAAGCCAGTTCCATGGGTTGGGGATTCTATGTTATAGTGGTTCTCTTCTTTCTCAAGGGCCTGGTACAGTTGGTATTGGTAGGTCTCTCCTTTGTGGCATGCCCTAGAATTTTATTCTCCCCCCACTCCTTTTCAACATTTACATGAAACTGCTGGATGAGATAATTCACCAGTTTGGGGTCCTATGTTGCTTTAACTGGGATGACCTTTGGGTAACCATGCTAGATTCCTTTTGATATACAGTCCTAGAATTCTTCGCTCATCCTTCCCAGGAACATCCCGTCCTCCATCACCATAATGAAGCAGCACAGTGATTGCTTAAAGTCCACACTGATTTGACAGCATATAATCAATCAATCACATGTGATAGACAAATGGTATCTTTTTGGTTTAGTGTGATCTCAAACTGCACATGCTTATCCCTAGGACTACAATAAAAGGAGTAAGCTAGAACACTATTGTGCACTATTTAGCTACGGGATTTTTTTAATTTTATTTTTACTTTCAGGGAAACATGAGACTTAAATAAATATATTTGAATATGCCACATTGTTTTTACTCCTTATATAGGAAATCTTCCAAAATTTGGCTCATATGCAATGGAATTTAATGCTGCATTCCAAAATTGGATTAAATTAAAGCAATTGCTTCTTTGAATTGCATCAGTTCAGAAGCTCTTTGGAAAAAGATATAACTTATCAAAAGAAGTGTATGCTTTCATTTCATAAGAACTTAAGTCAGCAAAATCTCAACAAGTCACAGATGAGAGTTTGGCCTATTTCATTCAGTTTTAAAATCCTCTCAATCAGTAGTGGGATTCCATTTTTATTTTTTTTACTACTGGTTCTGTGGGCATGGCAGGGGAAGGATACTGTAAAATCTCCTTTCCCTCCCGCTCCTGGGGGAAGGTTACTGCAAAATTCCATTCCCTCCCCACCCCACTAACCTGCTTTCCAGCTCCATTCTCCTGTGCAGGGCAACAAAAGAAGACCCAGCCAATCAGCTGGGACTCAGGAGGCAAAGAATAGAAGGGGGCAGGGCCAGCAGAGGTGGTATTTGCCAGTTCTCCGAACTACTCAAAATTTCTGCTACTGGTTCTCCAGAACTGGTCAGAACCTGCTGAATACTACCTCTGCTCTCAATGGAATGTATTTATTTATTGGCTTTCAAGGCCACCATATTCCAAAAAGATGCTGGACAGTTTATAATATTTAAGATTACAACATTAAAGATAGCCAGTGTGTGATTTCCACTGATTGCATTATTTATTTTCAGCTTTTATGATTTTCTAAGGAGTTTCAAAAAATTCTCCCTATCTCATGTGGGTACATCATCTTTGTCCTTTTATTTCATTTTATAGGTTCTTTAATTTTGGTATTGTCTTGTTACTGGGAATGACATTGTCACTGACCAGATCAGGTGGAAGATAAACCCTTCATTTATTGAAATACGATTTTAAAAAATCATATTCCAGGAGCTCTTAATGATATCCCAGTAGCTAAATACCTAGTAACTCATTTAAACACTTGTATTTTCTGCCTTATGTTCCTTTCACTTCCTAAAGCCTGGTAACAAACAGCTTTATCCAAAATAGAATTAATCCTTAATTTCAGTTTATAAAGTGATTTAGCAAAAAGAAATAGATGTCCGGATTTTCCTGCCGTCGCGCAACCTCGCGTGCTGGAATGAAATTTCCGAGTGAGTGGGAATATATATCTATATATCTATATATATATATATATATATACACGGTAGGCGGAAAGTGGTCAGCTGACGTCTTCTCTTTCACGTGACTTTCCTTAAAATATGGCTGCGCCCAGGCACAATTTGTTTCGGGTGGTTTATACTTGCTGGCTTCTGTGGCTGCGATCCGCAGAGTGCTTAGACGATAGCGAAGAAGAAGGAAAGTCCGGGAAAGAGGAGGATCAGGGGGACTGTGGTTGCAGCAACAGTCGTGCAAGCGATGCGGAAAGAGCTGCACGGAAATACTCTCTGGAGGCGAATGTTTCCCAGCAGCCAAATAATCGCCGTGGAGACGACCGCTCGAAAAACGAGGGTATGAAGGTAGGTAAACGGGGCGATAGGTTGGTGGCGTTAATGAGGAATGAAGCTTTAATGATGGGATGGCGAGCAGCGGGTGTAACAGCGTTTCTGGAGCGTCTGACATAACTTAAAACGTGATTGCTAGATGTTACTTTCAGTTCAGTGTTTCTTATCGTATGTGCGGTGAGAAAAAATTAACGAACAACCATCTCAGTCACGTGTAGCATCTGTAAACCAATTTATAACAAGCCCACATGCCAAGAGGTTCCAACCTTCTCTAACCTGGCATTATCCAAGTTTGTTGGATTACAACCAGGTGTAGATTAAGACATGCTGAGGTCCTAAGCTATGTGAAGCTTTGTGTTTACTAGTATTAAAAATGCATTATAACAAAATAATTAAAAAGTACTTACTTGGGAAGGATCCAGCACAGACCAATAATCTTAGCAAAATCAGTTATCTTGAAAAAATCCTATTTGCAATACTTTCAGCTGAAAATATGCTGTACTTTTCAATTTTAGAGATGATGTACAAAAATGTGAGCTGTTACACAGTTCAGCCCTAATATATTTAAAAAACACTTGAATTGGCTTTATGTCTGCTTTGTATCTCAGCTAAGGTGGCACTGAGTGGGATGAGATTATATATTCAGGTGAGAGGTGAAAATAATTTGAATAAAGAAAGGGAAATATTTTTTTCTGTTGGGTCATATGGGCTAGATAATTGAAAATATTTAAATGAGCAAGATACTGCAACAGAAAAGTGACAGAGGAGAAGAATTACCCGAGAAAAGGAAATATGAAGGACCCTGAAACTAACCATTAGAAGGGAAGCCAATAATCTGGCCACTGTGATCTGGAAGTTGCTGGTGTTTCTGAGTTTTGAGTGAAAACAGGAAGCTGCAGCTGTGCAGAAAGCTGATCTGTTGATAGGTATTGTACCACTGCAGAACATCATTTGCAGTGGCAACACTGGGATCCATGAAAAGGAAAACTTTCAATGACCAACCATATCCACAGGATCTGAGGAATGGTGGCCAACATGATAGTTGTTATAGCTTATCATGCGGATGAGCAGCCAAAGTGCCAAAAGCAAGGGCTGAAGAATAGTTGAAAGTCTGCTCTAGAAAGTTGATGAAAGTGGAAGAGACATAAAAGTGAACAACATAACCCAGTTCTGGAAGATATTACAGTAGATTGGATTGGAGGAAGAATAGATGGGACAATTTATGATGAGAACAATTTGTGGCAGCGTGGTATAGAAGTGCTCCTCTTGGATTGAGAATTATAGGGAAGTCTGCATCTGTTAAACTCAAATGAGAGCAGGTTCTGAGAGGTAGAGATTGGAATAGGATGGCTGCAATGGGACTCCTCCAAAAGCAGCCATGTGGGGAAAATTTTTTATATGTTGCAGCATGTAACATTTAAGGTTCTATCAGTGTGTAATATATTAGTGTCTGCATGAGCAGCCCCTTCCTTTTCTATATGAGTTGTGATGTCTCATCACCATCAATCACTACTCCCCAATCAATCAGTCCCACTTATGGGAGTTGAATTCCAAAACATATGTAAGGTATTATGTTAGCGAATGCTTAGACTAGTCTGATCACTGGATTTTCTAACATCTAATTCTAAAACATGATTAATCAAAAAATACTGTAAAAATATGTTTAACTTCCATGTGTGTGCTTTTTATCACATGAAACATCTGGAGATTTTTTTAAAAATGTATAAACCAAGATATGTACTACCTATTTATAAATTGCTGTTTCTCTTCAGCAATCTGGCAATGGAAGCATTGCAAAATATATACTTTTGGAGTTACAGTGTGTGTATATATCCAGCAAATTGTGGATTAATCAGCTAACCATAGTTAAAGCAAGACATGGCATAGGGTAGCATAAGTACTGACAGATCAGGAAATGAACATGGTGGAGGCCTGATCAGAGGATCATAGATCATTTGACAGCTTCCATTCACTTCCTGGCAATTTATGTTGTGAAGGAAGGTCAGAGTATTCTGCTCCTCCCTGTTCATCAACAGGCAGAGGTCAAAGTCTTCACCCCCACTGCCATAGCTCAGAGTTTCTTTAAAGACATAGTGCTATGCTTGATCCTTCAAGGAAGAACTTTAATCCCTTCAGCACCAAGCAAAAAATGCTATTTTCTCTTCCTGTTTGAGAACAAGCATCAGAGAAATGAAATTATCCTTGCTTATCCATAAAATAGAGAAGAGTGTTTCTGCTTAATCCTTTGGGTTATTTTTCTGCAGGAGAAGGAACATATATGTTCATTCTGTTTTCAACTATATAACAGCTTTCCAAGAGAGAATGAAGGGTAATTCCTCCCCTTTGCACTATTTAGTCAAGAGCAAAGCACAATGAATGTAAGCTATTTGAACAGGTGAATTTTGATTACAAGTTAAAGTTATCATGGAATCAAGCTCACCTTCTATTATCTTCAAAATTACCTGCAATTTTCTTGGCACAGTGATGGAGGTTATTTGCCATTATCTTTTCCTAGATTTTGTTTTAATATCCTGATCTAGGCCCACTTCCTTAGGTTTCTGAAATAATCCCCATCCAAGTATTAAGCAGGTTAGCTTTCTTTAGCTTCTGACAGCAGCCAAAATTGGCTAGATGATGTCATGCTGATGCCAGATTTTGTTTAAGACTTTATTTTAAACAACATCCTTAATTGTAAGATCAGTACAGCATTAGAAGAGATTGTCAAGATGGCTGTTTTTGGAAGTGCTTTTAGTTATAGGATTAAGATACAGATCTAATTACAGTTGTTATTGTTGTTCAGTCATTAAGTTGTGTCTGACTCTTCATGACCCCCATGGAGTGTAATATACTAAGCCCTCCTTGTCCTCTACTGTTGGATTTCCTGAATTCATGGGGTTTTGTTGTATCGGTGACACAATGCAATCATCTCATCCTTGGCTGCTTCCTCCTCTTTTTGCCTTCAATTGATTGCAATTAGCTCTTGTATATTTCTCATTTTCATGCTTCTGTTAAATATGTAGAATTTGATTCAAATACAATTTTGCTGGCTTAAAACATGCTGTCATTGGTTAAAATAGTTTACATTATAAGAATGGCATGTGATTCTAAAACAGTGTTTAATCAGCAACTATTTAAATCTCCATTATGGTCCATTTCAGTTGTATTGAGAATAAAATTAGCATTCTCCACAAACCATCTGACTTAGTTTTTCATTTATCGTATTCCCGTCAAGTCATTCAGGGCAGATGCATCAAGGAAAAAAAAAACTAGATTACTTGAAATATCTTTATTATTAGGGTAAAGTAAAGCAGTCCCTGTGGACTCCGTTAGTCGTTACTGGCTGTAGGGGATGGTGCTCATCTCCGTTTCAAGGCCATTGAGCCAGCACTGTCCAAAGACATTTCTGAGGTCATATGGCCAGTATCATGTCATGTAATGCTGTTACCTTCCCACCTAAGTGGTACCTATTTATCTACTCACATTTGAATTATTTTGAATTGTTAAGTTGGCAGAATCTGGGTGAGGATGGGAGCTCATTCATCAACTGTTGGGTCTCAAACTTTGGATGCCAGTTTTTCAGCTGACAAGCCCAGCATCTTAACCACAAAACCACCACACTGCCCACTTATTAGGGTAATGTAGCATAATCTTGAAAGTCTACCAAAGTAATTGTGCATGACCTATACTTAATAGAGTTAAGCTAGAGTTATTTTCTCACATTTTCACCTCCCCTGGACTTAATAAACCCATTTGAAATGGCCCTGCTTTCTCCTTTAATTGTCTTGCTCCCTCTGTTTTAACACGATTTGCTAAGCAGCTTATTTTTTATACACATTTCACATTTCTGAATGGCCCATTTCCCTTAAAGAGGGACACAGGGTGGTTATACAGCATCAAAATATATAAAATTAAAATGTTAGAGTTAATTTTTTTAAATTAGAAATTTTAAAAATGAGAAAATTATTAAAAAAATATAATTTAAGGAGGCAAGAAAATTGTCAAGTTGAGAAAGGCAAAGGGGAGGCTTTCAGGGCAGCAATCAACCCCACAACTCCATATGATATATCTTTCTTGATTAGAACATATATAAGTAATAAGAGATTAGTATTTTTAAGACATAGAATTTATGTGGTGGTTCCATTTCTGAAGGATTTGTAAGCTCAAAAGAGACTGGTTGTCTCAAGCTATCTGCAAAAATCAAGCTGTTCCATCCACTTTGCTGTATAATTGATTGTTCTGCCAAGTCTTTGATACAAAATCTAAGGCTGTATTGGACGTTTTCAGTAAACTTGCTGATCTTAATACTGCTACAGCTTAATTGATTTGCACTATGTAGGTCATTAGAAATAATGGCCATCTTTGAAAGAGATTAATTGGGTTCTTGGACAATACATTAAACATTTTCTTTAGTTCAGCCAATTTTGTCCTGATTAACTTGAACTGTTCTCTAGCTGTGTTTTGTGAGAATACCCCTTCACATACTTATTATTTGCCAAATGTTCAGATTTAAACAGTATTTTAAGGCAAGATTTTGATAGATGCTTTGTTAAATTGCAGACTGGGCTTTACAATATCAGTTTATATTATAGCAATGATTGCCAGTAGCAAGGGCAGCCTAATTTCTCATTATTTGTCACTATCTAGAAATACAAATTGAAGGAAAATTATAGGGAATTTCTCTTTTTCAGTTTCTTCAGTGGGAGGAAACAGAAAGGTGCCCAGGAGGTCTACTTGTTGTTTCTATGTGGATAAAAGACCTTTAAATTTTTCAATGAAACTATAAGCATGCTGAATTATACTATGTCTCCTACAGAATTGTGGTACTCACAGAATGTTATATTACATCTTCTGTTGTCTCCTGATGGTATGGCACATGTTCAGTAATTATGGAATCAGAATAACTTGAAAGCACCAGTTATGTTCTCATGACTTAGTGGCACTTCAATGGCTGAGATTGCCTAAATTTAGTGGATTATAATCCAGGCTGCTGACTTGTTATTTAGCAAAACAAAATA